CCCTGGACCCACTCCTGGTGCCCGTTCACACTCACTCGTTAACCACAGTCAGCGCACCTCCATATTTGTCCCTACCAGCGAAGGTGTACTTAAGGCCTTCCAAGGTCGACTTCAAATCATATGCACCTACGAACTCTCACTACTCTGTGTCGTGGCTCGAACGCTGACCTGGTCCGGGATGACCTCTAGAGGAAATGTGGTATATAGGAGGCCTCTTGCTGGTGCCAAACCTCATGCACGGCTCCTCTGATCCAACCTTGTAGTCGTATGTTCCCGGACCTGTCACTGACCATAGAGGACGACGAGAGGGCATGGACCGTCACCTGGCTTCCCTCGAGTGGCGATAATGTCCTTGTCGTAGTACCAATCATGCCGACCAGCGACCCCAATTGCTCGATCGCTCAGGGTTGCTGACCCTTTGCGGTTCCTGCCAAGACCCTACCCGTCCTCCCTAGGAATTTCTTACTACCCCTACTTATAAACACTTTCCGTGTCACCATAGAAAATATGATACTACCAATGAGAGCTACGAGTTGCCCCTCCATACTACTTATTTCTAATCTCGTAAATACCGGGCCCTGGGGAGTTCCGTGCCATCTTCTCCATGCACTTAGGAAACATTCTGCCTCCCGTGCCGAAAGTGATGTTCCCATGAGAGGTAAAGGGTCTACCGCTGAAGTCGCTGGGGGGAGAATAGGCACCTGCTCGAGAATTGCCATTCCTACTACCCATAGTATCCTAACAATACGAGTTTAGATTCCTATGACAACCACTACTGTTGAATTATAAGGTGATGATGACGACGTTAATAGCAGAGACTCCTATTACCAGGACCAGGTTCTATACCACTCCTTTGTTTCTTTTCAGGAGAAGTGGTTGGTCTCCGCTCGTCCACGAAGCGTGATGCCGATCCAAAGGAACATGACCTAGATAGCCAATACAGTCCAGTTACGTTACCCCCCTACCTCGCCAAGGTCCTGAACTTCGACGTGTGGTCGACTCTACCGATAATATCATACTTCCCTGGACCAGGCACCTTATTCGCATGCCGGTCCAAACGGCGCTGTGCCTATGTGAAGGACACTACGAGAACCGAGGCTCACGTTCTGCTGACTTCAACACAGCCCTCCCCCTTCAAGGTCCACTTAGGAGATGCCTTGTATGGCGACATGTGGTGTAGCAGAGGCGCTGTACCAACCATTATGACAACAATACAACTGCAGTGCCCTATGGTCACTGCGCAAGGTTACAACGCAAGTACTATGGCACTGTGGATAACCTATTGGACATGACAGCTTCACACATCGGACTAAGGGGGGGCCTGGTCCTCCAACAACGCCCTCAAGGACTTTATCTCGGCATCCTTCCTCCAAAGCACGTCGACTGAGGTCCTCAGTGCATGCCTCAGCTGATTCCTAGTCCTGGTGAGCCCCAATACTCGTGCTCGAAGACGGGCACGCTCCCTTAGGAGGCCTGAAGGGCCATCATCTACTCCACTATCGTAGGCCACTACCTTGCCGCTGCCCAGCATGACTCTGGCAACTCGCCCTCGATTGGCTCACGTCCATCCGAGACCTGCTGCCACACTCCTCTAGCGATTTCCCATAGGAGGATTACTACCTAGCAGACTCCGACTGGTACGCCTGTAGGATCCGCCTAGCAGCGTCTCGGTGATCCTGAAGGGCCCAGATGTGATGATACGGTCCCGAGAGAGGGCTCTCTCTACCTTGCGTATAAGGTGCTGTTTTCCAGTATAGGCACGAGGGCTAGAGAAGTAGATGCGTTGGGTCTGATAGACAAGGCTGGTGTAGGGCGAGGTAGTGGTTGAGCAGTACCTTGTATCTGCCTATGTTGGACCTAGAGATGTCTATGGCCCCCCAGACCTCTCCCTCAGGGCCTCCTATGGTTCGGTGAGTAGCACCAGAGAGCCGTTCGTACTGGGAAATTGAATGCATGGTGTAGCTGCTAGTCGCTTCTAGTGGGTTCGACGGCGAAACCAACGAAAGAGAAGTGCCCCTGTTGATTGCAGGGGATGCTGACAGCCCCTGTATA